ATCTCCCAAAATGTTCAAGTAATCTTTGCTGTTGATTCTACCATGCAGGGCAACTATTGGACTGAGACATTTCCATGATATGGCGGCCCAAACTATCACTGATCCACCTCCATGCTTCACTATTGGAAGAAGGCAGTCAGGGTTGTAAGCTTCTTTGGGCTGCCTCTACACATAGATTCGCCCTAAAGTTGGGAAAAGAGAAAAACTGGACTTATTTGAGAATATGACTTGCTTCCATTGGTCTGCAGACCAGGCATTGTGATCTCTGCACCACTTCAACCTCTTCTGAATGTTGCGAGTGGAGAGAAGAGGTTTCCTCACAGCGGCTCTTCCATGATATGCAGTCTTATGGAGCTCACGGTGAATAGTTTTAGTAGAAACTGAACTGTTCAGATGATTATTCAACTCAGCAGTCACTTTGGCCGCATTTGTCCGATGATTTTTTGCCACATTGCGTTTCAATGCACGTCAGTTCCTGTCAGTAAGTTTGCAAGTTCGGCCCGAATTGCTCCGGTTGCTAGAGGTCTTGCCTTGTTTCTCGAATTGCATCAGTGTTCTTGATATGGTAGCTCTTGAAAAACTAAACAGTTCAGCAACCTTAGTGATCGAGGCTCCTGCCGTGCGAGCTCCAACAATTTTCTCTTTTTCGAACTCGGAGAGGTCACGCATTTAGCTTAAATTTTACTAAATTCTAAAAATAAATAAGCCAAAGACAGTAAATTAGATAAATAAACGTATTTACAATAGATATAACCTGCAATTACGAAGTTTTAGTTAAAGTTCTTAATATAATAGGTCTTTGAAATATAGAAGTGGATTTTGCAAATGTTCCAATTATTTTGTCCAACCCTTGTATATATATATATATATATATATATATATATATATATATATATATATATATATATCACTATATCACTCATACGTCAGATACGACGGGAGAGATAGATAGATAGATAGATAGATAGATATATATAATTATACACGGTTGGATGGCACATGTTTTGCAAAGTACATGAAAACAAATTGGTATCCGAGGAAAAAATTGAAAAAATAGAAACATTTGAACAGGGCGAAAAACATCGTCCAGTGTCTTAAATTTCAAGTTCAAAGAAAAAACAAAAAACAAGCGAGTTAATACGATAAAAGCGTAGAGCTCAATACGCTCAGTAGAGAAAAGGAATAAAATTATATATATATATATATATATATATATATATATATATATATATATATATATATATATACAAATGTTTAGAGGTACAAAATTTATAAATAGTTTTAAAAAAAAAAGGAAACCATTGATTTTAATTTTAAAAAGTCTCTAGGGCCCTTTCAGCCAACATCTCATCAGGAGACAATCGTTGGATTAGCGAAAAGAATATTAACGATATTGAAGAGCAAAAAAAAAAAAAAGAGGAAACACTCAAATAACAAACAAGTATATATATACTTGTAACGAGGATTATCGTGAAATAAATTAGCGGGACAGTTAAATAAAATATCCCCCAACAGATTTAAATTCTTTCAAATTCTTTTTTGCGGCAATTTTCTTAATCAACAAAAGATTCAAAATCTTCAAATGATTGGAATCGGCTGTATATTTTTAAAACACTCTTTTTAAATGTTGACAAGCTAATTCTCAACTAAATGATTTCCATATTCATGGGGGAAGATAGCATATTCTATCTATCTTACCAAGTCGTATTTTGGAAGGTACGTGCTGATTAATTCTAGTTTCCAAATGTAAGGTTGTACGCCCCACATAACCAGCAGCACACTGGCAATTAAATTCATATACTAAATTACTCAATTTGATGTAGGGCAATACATCCTTGCGAAAAGACTCAATTTAAAATTATTCATACAGCCGATTCCAATAATCATTTGAAGATTTTGGAATCGGTTTGTATAGATTAAGAAAACCTTCTCTCTGCCGGCAGAAAGAATTTATAAGGTCTCTGAATCTGTTGGGGATATTTTATTTTAACTGTCCTCGCTAATTTATTTACGATCCCTTCCCTCGTTACAAGTATATATACTTGTTTTGTTATTTGAGTGTGTTTCCCCTTTTTTTTTTTTTTTCAATATCGTTAATATTCTTTTCGCTAATCCAACGATTGTCTCCTGATGAGATGTTGGCTGAAAGGGCCCTAGAGACTTTTAAAATTAAAATCAATGGTTTCTTGTTTTTAAAACTATATATATATATATATATATATATATATATATATATATATATATATGGCAGACAGTGGGATGGAGAGTAAAGGGATAAATGTTGCTAAGAGCTATAAATGATAGGAGGTTATGGAAGACCGTGACCCCACACGTTCTGAAGGAAAATAAAAGTAAATTTTTACAATATCTATAAATCAATAAATCTATCTTAGTCTTTTCATATCTCTCTTTCACCCTCTCTCACTCTCTAGCTATCTCAGCCTGGCTTTCTGGCTGTCTGTATCTATCTATCTATCTATATATCTATCTATCTAGCTAG